AATTAAACACGTTGTGATGATCATCCGATATTTAAAAATTTAAATATTATAAATAAAAAATCTGATACTTTGAAATGCATTTTTATGACGAAAAAAACAAATAATGCTACAACTATGAATATTTTATTTGAAAAACTTCAATATTAAAAGATCAATTACTATGTCTTAAGAATAAAAAATTTTTCCTCCTTTTACGAATGTCATTGAACTTTAAAAGGAAATTTTTTTTTCTTTTTTTTTAATAATAATATTATTTAGTTTTGTTTATTATTTATTTATATGCCATATTATATTATAATGATATAATCGATCAAACATAATAATTGTTAATCGATCATTCATAAAAATTTAATTGATTAAAAATCAATTAAAGTTAGTTTAATTTTGATCAATAACAATATTCTGTGATCGATAAATTGATTGAAACAATTAATCATCGATCTTACTCAATTCAATTAAAAGCCTTACTTTATCTATCACTATTTTATATTTGTTACATTTAAATAATTATTACTATTTAGATTATATTTAATAAATTCACAATAACTACATAAAAGAAAATAAATATTAAAATAATGAAAAAATAAAAATAAAAAAAGAAAATAAACAACTTATAAGTTTTATTTGTATATACTTTATTTTGAATGATGACCTTTTATGTAACTCTTAAACTTGAAAATAAGATGATTACAAGATTGAATATGAGTCTAAGTAAGTATTTTACAAACTATTTTTGAATTAATTTTTTTATTAAATTGATAAGATATAGTAGATTCATTAAAAAGGGTATAATAATAATATAAAAATTTAAAAAAAAATCACAAGATAATTTTCTTATGATATTTATTAATAAGGTTTTAGATGTGAAGTTATAAATAAACTTAAGTTCTTTTTATTGAATTTCTCTTTTTAGATGAAATATAAGTAGTTTTACAAATATAAATAATTAAGTATTTTATAAAATAATAAAATATATATAAAAATAATATACTTAAAAATAAGATCATCAAAAGATAAAGATAAATAGACTATATGATTAATATCTAATTTACTAAATTAACTATATTTTTTAAATAAAGAATACTAAGATTAACTAATATAAACATCATAATCAATAGTATTAATATTAAGATTTTAGTGATTTGAATATCATCATAATTTTTAATATTTTTACCGTTATAAAATAAAAAATAAATTAATAGTAAAAAACTTATAGCAAAAGTCAAATATATCATATATCTAAATAATGTCTAATAATTTAATTTTTTATAAATATTACTAAAATCTATTAAAAATTTTCCTTTAAATTTGACTATTTAAGACTTTTTTGATAATATTTATGATACAATAGAAAAAAAAAAGATTTTTATCTTTATAATGATTTATTAATTTGATAATTTTTTATTATAAAGAAGACAAATATAAAATTTAAGTAATTTATGATAATATTGAAAATGAATAGTAATTGTTTGCTAATTACCTTATTTTAATAAAAAATAGTAAAAAATTAGTATTAATAATAATGTATTATACTGTATTATATTTATATAACTATTTAATATTTTTATATTATACTTTTTTTTGAAAATAAAGATGATGTTTTTATTAATAATTTTATTATTTTAACAAACAATATTATCTTGAGTTTGAATTGCATATATAATAACATAGTTAAGTATATCATATAAATAGTCCTTTATGAAATTCTATTAAAAGTATGTAAAATCTTAAGTTAAAAAGAGATTGAAATTAAAATTAACAAGTTGATAAATAATTATAGTTGAAATTTACAATAACTATATTATAAATAAGCCTATATATAATATATAAAATTAAAAATTATAATATTTTTAAAAAAAAAAAAAAAATAATAAAAACAAAATATCTAGCATAACCTATCTATTATTTTAACAATATTTTCTGTAAGAAATTTGGATATACTTTAATCTTTAGAGATCTAGTCAATTATTTTTCTTTTAATATTTTAAGTGATGAATTAACTTTAATAGTTTTTTGCATTTTCTATTAATGTTTTTTTTCATTTTTATTAATATTTATATAATATATATTAATTAATCAATATTATTAGATAATAAAGGATAAATAAATAAACTCTGAATAAACTTATTAATTGTTTTTCTTTGTTAGTAAGGATATTTTGATAAAGTTTATTTTTGTCATTAAAGAAACTATATTATAAGAAAATCAAGAATCTTAAATTATTGAGTATAAAAATATATTTGATAAGATCATATGGAATCTTTGTAATAAAAAGAGAAAAAAGTGTGAAAAAACTAAAAATGAGTTAATGTTAAATCTGAACATATTTTAACCTAAAAATTATATTTATTTGACATATAAAAATAAATTAATTTTTCTAGCAGTTTTTCTTTTTTCTATTACAAAAATTTTATATACAAATTAATCACTATAAGAATTATAATTTTTGCAACTATTTTGTAATTTGCTTATTTCAGTATAATTTACAAGTCAAGTTTTTTAAAGTTGATACTACTTCTAATATTTGAGATAAGTTTGTGTTAAAGATACTATTGTATTTTTTAAGATTTTTCTTTTATTTTATGCTTGAAACTTATGTATAAATATAACTTTTTTGTATAATAAAGAAAATAAAGGAAGAAGAGGTAGAGGTAGTAGTGATAGTAATAATTGTATCATTGAATAAAAATTAGAAGTATAACTATCTGATATAAGTATTTAATCTTCATATATAATAGAAGAGTAATTTGTGGTTGTGAAATAATGATGTTAATTATTAGTTATAATAAGAAATAAGACCTAACCCATAAATTCAAACAGATAATAACCTTGCTAACTAGGATTTATAATTGATGAAAATTGTGAATTGAAGTTTATTTTACAAATAGTTATAAAAGTGGTTTTACATTAAGTAAGTGTAATTCTATTAAAAGGTTCTTGTACTTGTGTTTTGCATATGAAATAAAAGTTATTTCTTTATTAAGTTTAGTATTTTTTTACTATAATAATTATGATTTATTACTACTACTAAACTACTTGATTTCAAAACTTTTCATAATATATTTATTATTTCGTATATATTAACATAAAAAAAAACATAGCGTGTTAGGATTAAATTCAGAAATAAATCTAGAAGGTAAAGGTCAAGGGTCTATTTCTCAACTCTCTCAAAGTAACAAAAATGAAAAAATTGTTTTTAAATAATTATCAACAAACCCATTATCAGCTATAATCAATCGAAAAATCTAAATCACGTGATCTTAATATAGCAATTCGTTACATCATTTATTCGGAATTACTTTAACTTAAATAATAAATAATTTTTAATAATTTAAAAAAAATTTTTTAGTCATACGTATACTTTTTAAAGATTAACTAGATCTATTTGATTGTCATAAAAATAAAATCGAATCACCATTTTTTTTTAGAAAAAAAAAAAAATGGTAAGGCATTCCAGGTCTAGAAGTCGTTCACGTTCTCCACAAAAGAAACGAAAACATTCTCACAGACGTAGTGGACGAGATCGGGATCGTGATCGTGATCGTGACCGAGATCGTGAACGTGAAAAGGAACGTCACAGAGATGATCGAGAACATAAACGATCTCGCCATTCAAGGAGTGAAGTTGATCGGGATGAGTCCCACGTAAGGTCTCATTCCACAAAAGAAACAGAAGATAAAAAAACTAAACACAGTTTTACAACGGATTCTGGAATTTATTTCTCGCAGGATCAAAAAAGTACTAAGTCATCAGGTATCGTGTTGAATAATATTTCCGGAGAAGTAAAAGACAAACATAAGGACAAACATAAGGACATTAACAAACAGGAAAGTGCTAACCGAGATTCTGATGTACAAATGCAAGCTGATTCAAAGGTAAATATGCATCTTTGTTAATATATATTTAATTTTATTATCAATGATATTTTTATCGAAGAGATTTTAATTATAATATAGTTAGCTGATTCGACAACCTCTGCAACAGTTGCGGCTTTACTCGATAGCCAGGAAGAAAAAATTCGTCAAAGAAGAGAACGTGTAGAACAGTGGAGAAAAGAAAGGGAGGCTGCTAAAAAAGCTGAGGAAGAAGCAAAGTTACAAGCAGTTTCAGCTGCAAATCAATCTTCTACCGCCGAAGATCAATCTCTACAAAATTCAAATAAAGGCTGGACTTTAGATGACGACGATGAAGATGAATCTATGGAGGTAGATGGTGCACCAGGTAATTTATTTATTTTTAATTTTTCTTTTTTTATTAAACATAAATTTAACTTTTTATTTTATTTTATTTAGAAACTGTCAACATACTACCTATTCCAAAATCCACTGATAAAATAGAGCCTCAAGTATATCAAGTTAGACGAAATCCATTACTTGGACTTGGTAATAAAAAACATATAATGAATAATAAGGGTAAATCAAAAGAAGTAGTTGCCGATGAAGAAGATAAATCTATATCTTATAAAGGCTCATATATTAAAGATTCAGATCAGATGCAAGTTGACGACGGAGACGAAGATCCTCTTGACGCTTTTATGAAAGATGTGGAGGTTGAGGTAGAACAATTAAATGAACAAGACAAAAAGCGTGCAAAACAAGCAGCAAAAGGGAAAAACAAAATTGAAAGATCTGATAAAATTATGCAAGATGAAGAGGACGTGGATGAAGAAGAAGTTGGCAGTGATCCTGAAGATATTTTAGCGTAAATTTATATTTAATTCGAAATATTATTTAATAATATTTATTATAAACTAATGATTTTTTATTTTATCGAGTAGTTTAGCAGCTAAGAAGCTTAAAAAAAAAGATTTGGCGGCGGTTGATCATTCACAAGTTAAATATGAGCCTTTCAGAAAGGATTTTTATATTGAGCCTCCAGAAATGCACGAATTGACGCATGACCAGGTAGACCTTCTTAGAGTGGAATTGGGAGGAATTAAAATTAGAGTAAGTGTTAAGTTATGATATAATTTTAATTTATTTTTCAATTAATTTTGACTTTTTTTTTGTTTAATTAGGGTATTGATTGTCCAAAACCTATACAAAAATGGACACACGCAGGTTTACCGGCTGCATGGTCGTCATTATTATTAATTTTGCTTCAACATAATTGACCTTTAAATTTAATTTGCTAATCGTAATTCTTTTTTTGATTTTAATTGAATAGTCTGCACATAATTAAAAAATTAAATTTCGAAAAACCCACACCCATTCAATCACAAGCAATACCTGCTATCATGGCTGGTCGTGATGTTATCGGTGTTGCAAAGACTGGAAGTGGTAAAACTATAGCATTTCTTCTTCCAATGTTTCGTCATATTAAAGATCAGCGCTCTCTTGATCAAATGGAAGGACCTATTGCTATTATTATGACACCTACAAGAGAGCTTGCAGTTCAGATACATAAAGAATGTAAACACTTTTTAAAAGGGCTAAACCTTAGGGTATATATATTATTTATGTTCAGTTAATATTTATTTAAATACTCAAATCTTATTTATTATTCGTTTTCTTATTAAAGGCTGTTTGTGCTTATGGCGGATCACCTATTAAAGATCAAATTGCTGAATTAAAACGTGGTGCTGAAATAATAGTTTGTACTCCCGGACGTATGATCGACTTATTATGTGCGAATTCTGGTCGCGTTACTAATTTAAAAAGAGTTACTTACCTTGTATTGGATGAAGCTGATCGTATGTTTGATATGGGATTTGAACCTCAGGCATGCATAATTTTAAAATCATAAATATATATATATTATGTCATTTCAAACTTCATTGTGAACTATATTATTATATTTAGGTCATGAAAATCGTAAACAATGTTAGACCTGACCGTCAGACGGTTTTATTTTCTGCTACTTTTCCACGCCAGGTAAGTAACTAAAAATATTTATTTATTTGGTATTCTATTATAAAGTATTTAAATTAATTATTATGATGTTTCTATGTATAGATGGAGTCACTTGCACGAAAGGTTCTCAAAAGACCACTTGAAATTACTGTAGGTGGACGTAGTGTGGTAGCACAAGACGTTAATCAAATAGTTGAAGTTCGGGAAGATAATACAAAATTTGTTCGCTTACTTGAAATATTGGGTCAGCAATATAATGACGATCCTGATGCTCGTACTCTAATTTTCGTTGACCGCCAGGAAGCAGCAGATAATTTATTGCGTGATTTAATACGCAAAGGCTACGCCTGCATGTCTCTCCATGGTGGCAAGGTAATTTGTTGCAGAAAATTATATAAAATTATATATTTTTTTTTTATAATTTCATATTCTATATTTATAGGATCAATTGGACCGTGATAGTACAATAGCAGATTTCAAATCTGGGGTTTGCCAGCTGTTGATAGCTACTTCTGTAGCTGCTAGAGGTCTTGACGTGAAGCAGTTGAAATTGGTCATTAATTACGAATGTCCAAATCATATGGAAGATTATGTTCATCGTGTTGGAAGAACTGGAAGAGCCGGTAATAAAGGTACAGCATATACTTTTATTACTCCAGAACAAGATCGGTATGCGATGGACATAGTTAAAGCGTTGAAATTAAGTGGTGGTCATGTTAGCCCGGAATTACAAGCGCTTGCTGACGGTAAGAAATTAAGTCGTATTAATGAATAATGTTTTGATTCATAGAACTATATCAAATTCATTTAAATTTGGATTTTTTTTTTTTAGGATTCCAAGAAAAGGTCAAGGCAGGAAATGCCACATATTCTGGTTCAGGATTTGGTGGTAAAGGTCTTGAAAGGTTGGATGAGGCACGAGATCTTGTTAAAAAAGCTCAAAGAAAGGTAAATTTATCATTAAAAAAAAGATCTACATTCATAATCATCAATTTTTTTTTTATTAATAAATCTGTTATTTTTTTTTAGACATATGACGTTTCTGATGATGAAACTTCCGAAGAGGAAGCGGAGGAAGAGGAACATTCTATTCCACAAATTAAGAAAGAGGAAATTTTAACAGCTCCTGGTATTTCTACTATAACATCTAAGAATGCAGTTACTATTCCACCTCCAGCTATTAGTCATTCTGCAGATGCAAATCCTGCAGCAATTGCTGGTAAATATTTTTGCCCAATAATTATTCACATAATTGACGACGTGTCAACTATTTTTTTTTTTATTAATTCATCAATTCTAGCACTTAAAGCTGCTCAAGAGGCTGCAGCCCGTGTAAACGCAAAGAATGTCGGTGCAAGTGGTGTTCAAAGAGCGAAAGATATCATTGCAGATATCAATGCTCGCTTTAAAGAAAACTCCGTACAAGGCACAGCACCTGAAGCCGACAAAGCCGAAAATGCTGCAGAATATTCTGTCGAAATTGAAATTAATGATTATCCACAAAAGGCGAGATGGAAAGTTACGAATAAGGTAGGTCACTGTTATAATCATAAGCATAATAATCTCAAATTATAATATTAATTAATTAATATTATAATATAATAGGAACAAATCTCGCAAATTACAGAACTTACAGGAGCGGCTATCACTACTCGTGGTACATATTTCGCTCCTGGCCGTCAACCAGCACCTGGTTCTGGCGAAAGAAAATTATATTTATTCGTTGAGGGTGAAAATGAATATGTTGTCGAAAAGGCCAAGAACGAAATAAAACGCATTTTAACAGAAACCACGTTAAGTGCGATTGAAGCCGAAGCTCGTAATCCCGGAAGTACTTCATTGGGTGGTTACGGCAAGTATTCGGTTGTATAAACGGAAAATTTTTATTGTTTTAGCGAAAGTTCGACATTGGCACTATTTCTTTTATCCCTTTTCTGTTTTATTATTATATCTTTCTATAGACGATATGTACGCAAAATTCTCGAAGATTTTATTCACTGTTTTTAATAAAGGTGGTAGAAGGTTTCCATTCTATTTATATCCTTATCCTTTAATTCTCTGGGTTGCCCAGTTGACAAATTTCTTTTTTGTAAATTTGCTAAGCTCGGCACTTTTCCAGCATCCGAATTGTTTACAGTGCATTTCTATTAAAGCTCTTATTATGGATTAAGGCTTATTACCACATTTTCAAGTTAACTTGGGCAAGTACATTTAGATTTTGACCCACATTATTTTATTCAATAGCTTAATGTAATATTTATCAGATTTAAAAATTTGAATCAATTATTTAAAACACAAATGCATTATGAAATTGATTATTATTTAAAAATAATAACACCATTTTGGGATTTATTTATCTCGAAGAATTATATAGGCGGTAATATTTCAATGAGGTAAGGATATATATTATTATCTTCGATGATTGTGCCTTTAATTTTTTTTTTTTTTTTTTTTTTTTTTTTTTTTTTTATTGACAATTTGATTGAAAATGTGTGCAAATTTTTTTGAACGAGCATTAAATTTTTATTAATTAAACAAAATAAATTTCGTATTATATTAAATCTTAAATCGAATTATTTTTTCTTTTTAATTTTTGATTTTCCTGAAGATTTTTGTTCATTTCTTGTAATATAACCACATTTTTCTAAAAGATCCCGAGAGCAATTTAGTATATCTTTAAATCTTTCTGGACCTAACAAAATTCCACCAAACCACCTTGAAACGATTACGACAACATTTTTCGCATCAATAATTTGTAATAAATGTAATAGTCTACTTCCGGCAGCCGTTTCACCATCATCATCGTTATCTTGGTAAAAACAAGATAGTTATGAAAACATTGAAAAATAAACAAGATAAAGAACACAAATACTTAAAGAGATACCTTGTATTATTAAACCATTTTCTTGAACAATTCGATAAGCCATTATATTATGTGTAGCTTTAGCAATCTTTCTATCTAACAATAAATTAGATCTCACAAGTTGTACTTGTCGTATATTTGATACAGAAGCTAAATGAGCAATAAAAAATGATTTTTTATGTTCTAATGGTTCTCCATGTATGATTTTCGGACACTCGTTAATAATATCATCATCATTATTAAACTTTTCTACGGTATTTATCACGCTTGAAATGATAGGTTCTTTTTCAGTTAAATGGTTTTCTTCCCTCATATTTATTAATCCATCTTCATTATCAAGTTTTGTTTTCATGTAATCTTGAAGCCATTCAATCCAAGAAAATATAACTACTTCACCTGGAACAAATAATTGATTGAAATTTTTTTCTATTTCATCCTCTATATTTTGATCAATTTTTAATGTACCACAATATAAACTTAGTATTTCATAAATGGGAGGTTGAGAAGAAGGATAGTTTGGTGGTAAATGAAATCTTAAAGTTAAATCTTTAGATGATTTATTGTCCATTATAGCAGTTGTCTCAACATCATTAATACTATTCTCTAGGGAAAATTTAAAGATATAAGAAGGATATGATTCGGAAAGATGAGTTTCTGCTTGAAAGGAAGCTTCCCCAAATATTGAAGATAATGCTAAAAACTCCTCTTGTTGTAACTCTTGATTTTCGTTATTTGTCATTTCTCAAACCTTAAAAAAAAATAAAAAAAAAAATAAAATAGCATTTATATATTTAATTTATGTATATATAATATCCGGTCACATAACGGGTTGACATTCTTGTTTTAGTGTAATTTGTCAAACATGGGTACAATCTAAATTTTTTCTTTTTTTTTTTTTTTTTTTTTTATCCAAAGATGAATATTTTATTTAATGGTTAAAAAAGATATATATATTATATATATATAAAATAAATAAATATATAATCAACATAATAAAGGCATGACCTCTTCGACTGCGGTCGTAGAACTTGGCTTCGCCGAACCACCAGAAAGTCCTCTTTTAGCTAAAAATTTTCCAAATAAAATTGGAGGAAAACCGGTAATTCAAATACTTTATCAAATGATTCGTTAAAGTTTCAAATATCATGTATTAATGATATATATATATATATGATATAGGAATGGTTAAATCCAGAGTGTATCCTATCAGCGGACCAAGTTCGTTGTGAAGTTTGTCGTAAACCGATGATACTTTTGGTTCAAGTATAAGATGATATTTATTATCCAAGATAAAATTTAGTAGCCTTTATTATTTTTTTTATTTTTGATGATTATCATAAACTTTTTAGCTATACACTCCTGAAGACTATCCTCCCGAAGCATTTCATCGTACAATTTACGTATTTTGCTGCAAGGATGGGTCATGTCACGAAATTTCTTGGGAGAAAAGGTTACTAACATATTTCATTATTGTAATCCTTTTTAAATAACTTTGGTATATATAATACATTCATATTTACATATTTCTTTTTATTTTAGCTTTAAAGTATTTCGAAGTCAATTACCTAAAAATAATCCCTATTGGCAAGAAAATGAATCCGATAAAAAGTTTTTACCCGGTATTCCTCAACATTTTATTAATTTAACTTAAAAAAAATTCTAAAGAAAATTAAATGTTAACGGTTCATAAAAATGTTTAGCCAAACAATGCACGGTTTGCGGGTTACTTGGATCGAAAATGTGCGGAAAATGCAATACAGTTAATTATTGTTCAAAAGAACATCAAGTACATCATTGGACCTTGGGACAACATAAAATTCATTGCAATACTACATCAAAACCACCAGCTTCTTTACAAACTATTGCGGAACATGATAATCATTGTAGAAAATTGGTTTTATTTCCGGAATTTGAAGTAGTTACAGAACAAGAAGGGAATCCAGAAGAAGATCAAAGAGATGGTGATGATGATGATGAGAATTCCTTAAATGAAGCTAATTCTAAGGCACTTGTACCTGTTGGAGATGAAGTTTATGAGAATACTGAAGTGGATGTCGATAAATCATTTTTAAAATTTCAAAAGAGAATTGAACAATATCCCGATCAGATTTTAAGATATAATCGACTTGAATATGGATGTGAAAAAAATGCGGAACCTTTATGGGTTAGCAATATCGGTAAACCAACTGTAAAAGATATTCCTTCATGTCCATATTGTGGACAAGAAAGAACTTTTGAATTTCAGGTAACTTTAATATATATATATATATTTTTTTTAAAAAAAAACAATCAATTTAAATATACACACTTATTATATTTTTTAAAGATCTTGTCTACACTACTTAATTATCTCGAAATTGATCATTTGCAACGCGGTTCACTTGATTGGGGAACATTGCTTGTATATAGCTGTAAAGTTAACTGTCATGTAGAGAATATGTATTACATTAATGAAATTTTATGGAGACAAGATTTTAGTGAGGAAGGTGTAAAAGGTTTAAAATAATTTTAATTTTAATTTTTTAATTTTTGTAAAAAAAAAAATTACCTTATTTTGGAAGTAAAAACATCTCATTAAACGGTTTTCTTGAGAGAAACATTATAATTTTTTTTAATTTCTAATTATCTTTACATTTCATATTACACATTAAAACCAAAGCTACGCATGCAAGCTTTATGAGCCTCAATCAAATCTTTACATTTTTCTTCATCTCCCGTTTCAAAAATACATTGATCTCGATTTCTCTTAGTTTCAGGACATGCACAACAAGGGCGAATATCTGGTCTCGTGGTTGTGTCTGTAGCTGTAGCTTTAGTTGTTAAACTTGTAACGGAATTTGTAATATTGGTAGGAATATCAGCTGTTGTAGTAGACATTTTTCTTTACGAAGGCAGACAAAAAAAAAAAAATTCTTTTTATATTTATATACAAACCAATATTTCAACACGTGACACAAGAGTGAAACTATTGGCTGTAATGAATCAGTTAAATTTAATTAAAAAGTTTTTTTAACCAAATTTTGTACAGAATAAATTAAATAGAGAATTATTGTGTTATATCCTTTTATATAAATAAAGGTCATATTGATGTTTTAAGTTAAAAAAGATAGATTGAGCAAAAGTCTCTTAACCTAACCTATTTCTATTGGGACCACGTGAACCCGAAAGTTGAACACCTTGCCTACCACGAAAATCACCTTCATATTTATTACCGCCATAACTCAAACCTTTCCCATTATGAGGAAATGGTTGGTGCTGTTGTTGTGGATTAGAAGGAAAGAAATTTGAATTCATAACTTTAGACCTATTTGTAGGGATATGAGGAACATCATTATGTAACTGGCGATCTGATCCCGTTCGTAATTGATTATGGGATTTTTTAGTCATCAACCTTCCTTTATCATCAGATGATCGTGCATTGGGAGAAGGTTGCCATCCTTTCGAAGGCAAAGTATTATTAATATGTTGTTTCATGTTTCTATCATCATACCTTCCTGAATCCATATTTTTTGATAGGGAAGGTGTTGGTTGATTAAAATGATTATGATGATGTTGATCAGGATATGAACTGGGGGGATGAATACTTATGACCTTATTTTTATCCATAATATAATCCCTACTCCTTTCTCTATTTCTTTTATTCATGTGCGATGAATGAAAATTCATTGAAGAAGGAGAAGTTGATAAGTCTTGATTATAATTTTTTGGTTGAAGGTTTTTATTAATATCATTGTCTATTGTCTGTAGTCTATTAGAGTTCTTGTTTTTATTATCATTTAAATTTGTAATCATTGGTGGACTATAATTATTTTCTTTTGATGAAACTTGTGTGGAATTTTTATTATCTGAATTTGAATTTGAATCATGTAACCAATCAGGAAGGTATTCACCTTTCTCTTCATAATATTCTCTTAATATTCGTGAGATATGAGTTTCTCCTTCCCATCCATCTTTTTCCGATTCTAATTACAAAACAGATTTATTTATTAATTTTATCTTGTAAAAATAAATTTTTTTTTTTTTATGTACTTACCGTTATCAGAATCACCATCATCGTTAGTATATGAAGTTACGTTTAACAACGTTTTCCATATTTTTGAACTTTGAGAATTATCCACTTCAAAATGTTCATCCCGTTTACTTTCAGTGTCCTTCCAACTACGAACAGATCGAAGTTTATTCCAGATACCATCGGAATGAGTATCATTATTAGACTGCGTGCCGGATTTAGTTGAAAGATATTGATTCGGTATGGATGGTAAAGGAGGTGCTTCCGAGGAAGGTATTCCACACTTATGACGGGCAGGGTATAGACCAACGTCTTGTCCGCAATCCTTACAAAGGATTACAATCCTAGAAACTCGGTAATCGTTAACTCGGTAATCGTTAACTTCAAGCATTCTTTGGTTTTAATAAAGAAAAAAAGGAAGAAGGTCGATGTATTTATTTTTTTTTTTTTTTGAGTGAAAAGAAAAAAAAAAGTCGGGTAAAAAAGGTTAAAATGAAAGTGAGTTAAAAAAAATAAGTGGTAGGAGATATTTATCCAAAGGAAGGAAGGAAGGAAGGAAGGAAAGGGTGGGTGGTAATTTTTTTTACTGACAAAAAAGAAAGTTGAAAGTTGATAAAATTTTAATTGTTCGAAAAAATCGATGGCTCGTTTTTAAAAAAGCAAAGTGAAAGTTTATATAAAGATCGATCACCAATAAAACCGTTTTCTTTTATTACCGACATGGTTATTTTTAATATAGTTTTTTTTTTGAATTTGTACGCGTGCACACAACCTAAATGCAGTGAATCAATTTCCTTGTACAAGAGATTATGTTGTATAAAATGTTTCGTTACAACTTTTTCCAGATTTAAAACTCCTTAATCATTAATTATGGTAATTAATTTAATAAATCTCTATTTATATTAAACTTTTTACAAGGAAATGAAAATATTTTGGTTTTAAAAAATTTGAAAAATTAATTCCGACTTTTTTTTTTTCAATGATGATAATTAATGTAAATCTCAAACAATTATGTACTGAAAATCATTATTTACCTTTTTCATCCCAAAAAAGAAAGGGAGGTTTCGTTTTTTTTTTTTTTTTTTTTTTTTTTTTTTTTTTTTTTTTTTTAAAAAATTGTTTTAATATAAAGTAAAATTATAATATGGGAAAATACAAATAATTTTTTTTAAAATTTTTTTTTTTTCTTTTTTAAAAAAAAAAAAAAGTGGTTTTTTTTTTTTTTTTTTTTTTTTTTTTTTTTTTTTTTTTTTTTTTTTTTTTTAATAAAAGATGTCTTTAATTAAAGTGAAATTATCATTTAGGTAAAAGTAATTTTTTTAATTAAAAATTTTCATTGGAATTTTTTTTTAAAGTCTTATTTTTTGTCGTAAAAAAAAAATCAAAAGTGGTGGAATGGAATTATTGTTTAATAACATTAAACAAAAGCACATAGAAATATCATCAACGATCAATCCACCAAATGCAACTACCATGAAAGATTTGGTTTGTAAATTAAAATTTCCCTATTTTGATCAAAATTTCGTATGCATATGTTCAATAAATATATAAATAAATAAATAAATTAAATGTATATGTATATTATATATGTTGTGACAAAAAAAATAAGATATTATGGATAAGAGAAAATTTGTTAAAAGAGCGTCCAGAATTATTTATGAGTGGAGACACCGTGTAAGTTAAATTTTTTTTTTGCATGATCCTCAAATACTTTCAAACTTGAATTAATTTTTTTTTGTTATTTTTTTTTTTTAAAAAAAAAAAAATGATAAAAGTCGACCTGGCATATTAGTATTAATAAATGAAACGGATTGGGAATTAGAAGGTGAATTAGAATATGAAATTAAAGATGGTGATGATATTGTCTTTATATCTACATTACATGGTGGATAGACATGAATGATATTCTAAAGAAACGAAGATTTTTTTTTCTTGAAGTAATGATGAACCGAGGTAACGATCGTGTTGTGTAAATTAAAGTAGCGTGCGGTTCCGATAGTCTTTGTAACAAATCTAACCAATTAAATTCTAATTCTTCGTATTATTATAAAGCTATCGAGTATAATAAATAAATAGTAAAAACTTCTTGTTATTATCCATTTTTGACTTCAATGTTCAGATACATTTTATTTCATTGATAAATAACGGAACAAAATATTTCTTTTTTCTATTTTTTTTTAATTAATCTTCGGTCTATGAAACGTTCCGAGTTTTCATTATTAAATATACAAATACTAATTCTTAAAATAATTCATTATTTTTACTAAATCCATCTTGAATAATTTCTTTAATAATCTTACAACCCGATTTAATTAAATCTTTTTGTTCTTTTAGTATATCACATTTTCTAACAAAATTATATAAAAAAAACAGGATCCCATTTGCTAATGTGGGATTTATTAAAGATTTACTAAATATATTAAAAAGAATTTTGATTTGATCATTTGATTTTCTTGAAAATTGGGTTTCATGAGATAATAAAATTATATTAGAAAATAATAACTGAAAAAATAACCGTGATTTTTGTTGAAGTTTAGGAAATGATACGGTCTTTGTTGATAATGTTCAATTCCGAGAATATTCCCAAAGTCATGGTTAGTATCGATTTTGACAAGAGTAAAAAAAATAAAATAAAATAAAAAATGAAACAAGAAAAGCTACCTTTAGAATTATTATAGATAATTGACCTCCAGTTAATAATAATGCATAAAGTTTACTCAGGTTCACAATTCTTCTTAGTGGGATGTCTTCCATAGTTGTTGATGGTGTGTTTTTAACAAGCTCCATACCACCGATATCACTTTCTCCACATTCTCTTAAGAAATCCCATAAGCAATATTGAAAAGTAATTTTATAACTATGATCGTGTTCACAAAGTTTTTGTGATATTAATGCGTAATACGGATTATACGTTTTTTCCTGATAAATGTAAATAAAAGAAATTATGCGTTAGATTGATTTTTTAATATGCTAAACAAATAAGGTGTTACTATTGAATTCAGTTATAAATTACATTTCCGCAACAAAGTAATAGCACACGAGGAATTTCACGCTCTTGAACTTCTTTAAGACTTAATTTCAATAGCCTTTCAAACGCGTCAACATAATCCTACAAGGTAATAAACTATCATTAACCTTTCTTATTAGATAAGAAAAATTCAAACAATAAATTCAATATCTACCTCACTACTCATTATGACCACAAAAATACTTCTTCTAATATCTGTATTCATTTTTTGTTCTTTAGCCAACTTTAATAAAGCTTCAGTTGCTGACTTATTTTTCTCGACGCGTTGCGGAATTGTTGAAGTTGATGGATCATCAACCATATTAGCAGTCCATGATGAACCAACAAGCCACCATTTACCTGTTAAAATAAAATTAAGAAAATCTCATAAGAATATTTCTCGGATTTCATGTGATTTTTAGAACCATATTGAAAGAACTTCAAGATAACGACCTTACAACTATTATCGTGTGGTTAGGTAATAAAAGGATTTCGTACCTTTTGTTTCAATTGATTTAATATCATCAAGACTAACCCTCAAGGTTTCTGTCGCTTGAACTATGAGAACAAAAAAAAAAAGTTTTTATGAAAACGTTTCTCAAAAGGAATGCAAAAATTAAATATATATACCATGAATCCTCTTTCCCAGATTGTTAAGAAATTTTTTCATTCTAAGAACATTTTCTGTATTCGCTATGAAATCCTGTTGTTTGAAGCGATTATTTTTAAGATTGATAATGGTTTCAATCATAAACTTCAATCGTGATCTATTTAAAACACAAAAAGATTGAATGAATCTGTCATTAATCTAAAAGGGATAAACTTTTATAATAATCGAGTTACCCTAGCGTTCTTGGATTTTTTTTGCTGGTTTCAGCTTGAACCTGTTGAATTATTTCTTTCAAGGCAGTTGGATCATCTTGTCTAAGCTGGTATCCAGAACCTATATTACACACATGCGCATTAGCATACAGTATGTCTTTCAACAAGTAATAATTATCTCGAAGATCTATAACTTACTTCTGACTATTTTTAATAGTAATTCGACGTTAAGTTCATTCAAATCAGTAATAAATATTCTAATTAAATCATATACCAAAACACATGATATGACTTGAAAATTATAAAGTTCCGAGATTAGAACGATTAAATTTGTGCACTCTTTTCCACCTTCTCCTTCAAGATTTTTTACATCATCAGATGTGCTACTGTATTGTTTATGGTATATCTCGAACTCTTCTATCATCTCTTGAACAAAATGAGCACCTATTTCATTAGAATAAAAAAAAAAATAATAAGTTAATTTGCGAAGATAAAGAGCTTACTTTCAAACATTTACTTACAAAAATCGATACCAATTATCTTGTAAAATGCTGCTACCAGTGTAGCATATATAATTACAAATTGATCTAATATTGTGGACCTTGAAGTAATTAAATTTAAGACAAGGGATGTAATAGAAGAAGTCACATCTAGTAAACAATATATATATAGTTGAATTAATGAATTTTAACTCAAAATTTTAATTAATTTATAAATATTATTTACCGTGTCGGGTAAATCTTTGATACAACTCCTCAATATTAATGATTATGCTCTCAATGTTTGACTCGCTCAACCTGTAATCACAAATCATTAAATTGTAACAAACACAACATAAATAAAATTCTGATTTAAAAAATAGCGTAATGATACCTGTTTAATAGGCCTTGTAATTGTCGTTGCAACCGTATTTGATGTTCTTTCTTTGCTTCATCACTTTCCGATATGAAAGTTTTACGTTGCAAATGTGGAGGAATATATTTACCTAATAAAAAAAACTATTATAAACACGAAAGTAAAGTATAAAGATTGCAAGCATATACTAACCTTTGGCTTCATTCGCTTCAGGTTTTTCGTAAATATTACTCTCAGGTTCCATTTCTACATCACTCTCTTCTTCCATCATATCGGAGTTTTCATCATCACTTTCATGCTCCGATTCATCAAAATCATCGTCGTTATAATGTGAAGTATCAATTTCCTATTAATTTGAACAAGCTATTATTTATGATTTTTAGGATGAAGAAATAAATTAAACGAAATTTTACTTCATTCTCCTCTGATATAGATTTAGATTTTTTCGAATTTTTCGAACCAATTTCGAACCCTTGCAATAACTCTATTCAAAAACACAAATTTAAATATACAATCACCCATTGAAAAAAATAAACTTACATAATGATATGTAATCCCATACCGTCTAATCCATCTTCTTCAAAAGCTTTTGTTAATTTTCCTCCAGTTTTTATTCCCAATTTTTTTTCTAATCGTTTAATTTCCTTGTCATCGACACTTTTAGATTCGGTTAAAGTGTTTTTGTTTGAGACAACAAGGTTTGAATCTTCAAGTAGTGAATAAAAATTTGGGTTTGTTGTAGATAGCTTTTCTAATTTCTGTGAATAATTCATTTTTTTTGTGCTTTTTGATTTTTTGTTTGAAACATTTGTGTCAGAGATAAACTTTGTTGTAGAAGTTTGCGGTTGATTAGTTTTCTGACGTTTCGCAGGCGACTGAACGTTTATTCCAAGTTGAATTCGTTGAGTCTAATTTAAAGAGACTAATTAAAATTAATAATAATATAAAAAGAAAAATAATAATAAAACTCGTCGAATTACTTTAAAGTACCTTTTTCTTTTTCTTATCTATTCGTCCTTGTCTTCTTTGTTCTTTTCTTGATTGTGCGCGATTAATGAACCGTTTTTCGAACTTCCTGTCATCATCTACAATTATTAATTATCACCTTAAATAAGTAAAAATATCTACATACTTAATAAGCAAAAAAGTAATTTAGATCGATGCATCACCAACTTCAACAAGTTGTTCTTGAAGAGAATCAGGCAACTTAGGTCCTTTAGCTTTACGTTTTAGCGACATGTTTGCAAAACTTTGAAGATCTAAATAAAATGAAGAGTAATATTTAATGCAAATTTTTAACCAATCAAATTTTCTCGATAAAAAATTTTTTATGATCGTCAAGATGAGACTATTGACACCGCAAATAATAATGATAATAATATAAATAAATGTATTAAATATCTTTTTTACGAGAAACAAAAACATTCACTTGGCTTACAACAATCTTTTCGTTTGCAAATTACAATTTCCATAACTCAATGATACTTTTTATAATCAATCTTTTGTTCGTCTATCTAATACCTTATCCGAAGTTTTATAACTCAGAAGACACTTTGTTGCATTGTCTCCAACATAAATGACGATCCTATTACATAATTTATTGGGTTCGATAGATACGATAATCGTATTTAGTACTGCAAGTTCAAGATTTATTTTTTTTTTTTAATGTAGAGAAATTCTTTGCTAAATATGTGTATTGTATTTATTTTTTATCAATTAGAAATAAGATAAAAATATACGGCGAGAAAATTTTCTGTAATAAATATTGAATTAATTGGATGACATTTACTATAGATGTTAGGCACGTGATCAGAGTAACCTGCAAAATTACAAATCGGTGTAAAAGATTACCTTCAATATATTTATTATATTAAATTAAACATTCGATACTGTTAAATTAAATTCATTATTTATTGAGTTTGAACAGAATTCTATTACATAACAAATAAATCTCCATCAAATGTAACACTATACTAAATTAAATGTAAATGTAACACTATACTAAAATAAAAATGTACAGTTCGAAAAAATTGGCACGTGACAACGTGACGCTCGCTTCGGACGCACAACGGTCCCCCGTTACCTACCTAGTAATAATTGCCATTATGTTATGCAATGTAAAAACTCTCTATTTTTTTTACTAGATGTTTGTTCAGTCAACGCTTATACATTCAATCCCTTTTGTGCTTGAAGTTCCAGAGACAGATTAAAATCCACCATCTGCCACCGTGGAATACCAGTAGGAAAACCCATAAAAGTTCTGGAGCGGGTCAGCCATATTGCAAGGACACTTAACACCATTTATAGTGCGTCCCATTTCAGAGTATAACAATATATAATTCAGGATTTGCCATCCCAATAGTTCTGACATCAACTGAATCAGAGGATTTGGTGTAAAGGTATTATTCCCACAAAGCTCAAATATTTTAATGGTTCGCATGATCTGAAATGATGTTTTTGAGGAAAGTAGGGTGCTACTTTTGATGCAATCAGGAAGACTTTGCGAGTAACCAATTTAAATTATCATCGTTGAAATATGCCAATCCATTGCCATAAAAAGGTGGATTGTTAAGGACGCCTTTCTGATCGGACCCAAGAGTCAGGTTCTTTTACACTGCTTTGCCCTACAACCATATTTGTATCATTCAAGTCCTCTTGGTGATTCTAACTGCCCATTACTATTTGATGCCACTTGCATGGTGCGTGAAAAGTCTTCGTATGAAAGAATGATAATTAGTGTTATTTGATGTGGCTCAAATTATAGTAGTAATTTGAGCCGGTGACCTTCGGTCGCTAGGAATTAATCTTTTTTATCTTTTTTTAGTAATAAAAAGTTATTGAAATAATTTTATTCACCATGTATTACAATAAATAAATATATAATGGCACGTGAAAGTAATATATTACCGACATTATTACACTTAATGTTTTGTTCTAAAAGATTCCAAAATGTTTGTTCATTTGACATAATTTTTTTTGTTCTAAAACCTTTGAGTACGAAACCTCAGGTTTTACTTACTGATATGGTAATTTTCATGCTTTTAATTGTTAAAAAAAAACTTTCAAATTACTGTATATTTACTATATGGGAATAGCCAATATGACACATAATGTTTTATTCTAAAAGATTCCAAAATGTTCGTTCATTTGACATAATTTTTTTGTTCAAAACCTTTGAGTACGAAACCTCAAGTTTTGCTTACTAATATGGTAATTTTCATGCTTTTAATTATTAAAAAAAACTTTCAAAACATTGTATATTTTACTATATGAGAATAGACAATATGATATATAATGTTTTGTTCTAAAAGATTCTAAAATGTTCATTTATTGGAATACGAAACCTCAGATTTTACTTACTAATATGGTAATTTTCATGCTTTTAATTGTTAAAAAAAACTTTTACATTTACTATATGAGAATAGCCAATATGATACATAATGTTTTGTTCTAAAAGATTTCAAAATGTTCATTCATTTGACATAATATTTTTTTCCTAAAATCTTTGAGTATGAAACCTCAGGTTTTGTTCACTGATATGTTAATTTTCATGCTTTTAATTGTTAAAAAAAAACTTTCAAATCACTGTACATTTACTATATGAGAATAGCCAATATAACATAACATGTTTTTTTCTAAAAGATTTAATCTTCCTAAATGTTCAAGGTATTTACTTACTTATTATGGTAATTGTCAAGATTCTAATTGTTAAAAGTATTTCAAAAAATGGGAAAGATGCAGATTCTAAATTATTCTAAAAATTTCAATTCTTTTACGCGATTTTGATATGTTGATTATTTCACGTGATTTGCATATATAATCAGTACTCTCCACTTGAAATGTTTTCCTCCCTCTCGTTCAAATAAAAATTTTCTCACACTATATTATTATTCATAGACTCACGTAATAGTTCTTTTATCTTTTACAACTATTAATTTATTAAGAGAAAACCTTAACTCTAAATGAAACAAAACAAAACAAAAGAGCGAAACAGAAAGTGAAATCTGAGACAAAAGTAAAACTAAGGTCTCTTTCGTGTCAAGATCCATAATAGGTTGCGGTTAGAAATATCAAAAAAGGAGCAAATAGAAAATGGTATTTATTGGAAAAAGGTACTTATTGTGTACGATGATAAATGAAAATGAAAACAACGAAAGTGAAACAGAAAATAAAAGCAAAATGGAAAGCGAAATTGAAGCGAAAGCGAAAATAAAGGACTCTTTCACGTCAAAGTCCATACTTATTGGAGGGAAAGGTACTTATTGCATTCAATATTACTTAGTATTGAGTAATCAAATTTTAATGATACTTTGTATACTGTGAGTTGAAATTACTCACGTGTTAGTACACTCTTTTTTTTATTTTTAGGTATTAACATCAAAAGATAGATTTGTTTCTTTCAACTGAAAAAATGAGGCTGGAACTGAGAAACTAAGCCAAAAGCAAAAATCAAAGCTAGAGATCTCTTTTGTGTTAAGGGTACATATCAGAAATTACTGGGAGAAAGATACTTATTGTGCTCAATGTTACTTAGTATCGAGTAATCAAGTTTTAATGATACTTTGTACACTATGAATGAAAATCACTCACGCGTTGGCTCACTCTTTTTTTATTTTTAGATATTAACATTAAAAGATAAGTTTATTTCTTTCGACCGAAAAAATGAGGCCAGAGCTGAAAAATGAAGCCGAAAGCAAAAATCGAAGCCAGAGATCTCTTTTGCGTCAAAAGGTCTATACTTTTTAGGGAAAAAGGTACTTATTATGCTCAAAGTTATTCGGTATCGAGTAATCAAATTTTAATGATACTCTGTACATTGTAAATGAAAATCACTCACGCGTTGACCCTCTCATTTTTTATTTTTAGGTATTTACATCAAATATAGATAGGTTCCTTTCGACTGAAAAACAAGAAATGAAGCTGAAAAGCGAAGCTAAAAGTGAAAATTAAAGCTGAGAACTCTTTCGCATCAAGGGTCTATAACAGATATTACTAGAGAAAAAGGTACTTATTGCGCTCAATATTACTTGGTATCAAGTAATCAAGTTTTAATGATACTCTGTACATTGTGAGTGAAAATCATTCATATGTTAGCCTACACTTTTCTTTATTTTTAAATATTGACATTAAAGGTAGGTTCCTTTCGATCCAAAAATGAGAAATGAAGTTGAGAATCAAAGCCAAAAATGAGAACTGAAACCAAAGTACACTTTCGCATCAGACTGGGAAAATAGGTACTTATTGCGTTCAATATTACTTAGTATTGAGTAATCAAGTTTTAATGATACTCTGTACACTGTAAGTAGAAATCACTCATGCGTTGGCTCACACTTTTCTTTATTTTTAGGTATTAACATCAAAAGTAGGTTTCTTTCAACTGAAAAATAAGAAACGAAGTTGAGAATCGAAGCTGAAAATGAGAACTGAAGCCAGAGTACACTTTCGCATCAGGCTGGAGAAATAGGTACTTATTATACTCAATGTTACTTGGTATCAAGTAATCAAGTTTTAATGATACTCTGTACACTGTGAGTGAAAATCACTCACATGTTGGCCCACTCTTTTTTTTATTTTTAGGTATTAATATCAAAAGATAGGTTTGTTTCTTTCAATTGAAAAATGAGGCTAGAGCTGAGAAATAAAGCCAAAAGCAAAAATCGAAGCCAGAGAACACTTTCGCGTCAAAAGGTCTATACTTTTTAGGGAAAAAGATACTTATTACGCTCAATTTTACTTGGTATTGAGTAATTAAGTTTTAATGATACTCTGTATACTGTGAGTGGTGAAAGGGTTCAAGAAATAGTTCTGTTAGGCAGACGTGAAATGCGGATTTTTGAGTAATCACTCACGTGTTGGTCCTCTCTTTCCCTTTATTTTTAGGTATTACATCATAGATTAGTTTTGATCACAACGACAAAACTGACAAAGATGAAACTGAACAAATGAAAGTAATAAAATGATAGAGAAGCGGAATAGTATTTTCTTTACTATTGTTCCATTTGGTAATTATTTTTACTAAGCTTTTTACAGTATCCTTCATACTAATTTCACTTTTACAGTTTCAAATGCATAATCCAATGTGTTGTATTCAGTTCTTTCGTTTATGTATTTATAAACAATTTGTAATGTAAGCAAAAGGTTTTTAATGAATAATTATTGAATAAAAATGAAGTAATTGTGACAAATATTTATTTAATAATATCAAATTAATCAGAGTTGCCTCAACGTCAGCGCTCTACACTTTCGCTATATCAACATTTTAAACTCTATAAATGCCAAATACTAAATTCTAATTGATTAAACTACGCAAATTACAAAACTGCTACATAAAAATTGAATAATAAAATACTAATAAAATCGGAAATTGAAATAAAAATAATAAACGGTGTTACAAATGCGAAATTATAAAGTTAAAACGGCGAAAATCGAAATTATCGTAAAGGTGTAAAAAGAAGATTGCGAAGGGAATGTTTTTCAAAGGAATATATTAAAGGCGAGCATGGGATATTGAGCTGTTTTAATGGTAGGGTTTTCGTTTGTAAATAGGATATTTGAATTTTGGTTTGCAATTACGAATTTTCTAATTTTTTAATTTTAATTTTTTGATCGATATATCTAAATAATAAAATAATATAATTCAATTCTTCGTCATTTATTTTTAAACAGTACGTTTTCGAATTGAATGATTTATATTTCTTCTCTTTTTATACAGTAGAATATTTTAGCTTTTAATTAAATTAATTTATAAATCAAATAAAGGTGATTCAATTAATGTAATTAATGTTTATTTTAAATTCGAATGCATTTAAATGGCAAAAATAAAAAATAAAATAAAATAACGATAAATTTAGCTTATTGCGAAGCGTAAAGTTTTGAAGGTCCAGTAATAATATATTTATAACTATGTTTAATAGAGTTTTGTTATTGATTTGTAAGAAGAATGGATTTTATTTATAGTGGACTTTTTCTATATAAATTCCATGAATCTACCTATAGGAAATTAAGGAAGTTCAGTTTTTTTTTTCATTTTGAATATTTAAATATCACGATCATGAACTTTTTTTTTTTAAAAAAAAAAATATTTGTAAAAAGATTTAACTTTTTTTTTAATTTTAAATTCGAAAACAGTTTCAATTGCTCACATTTACGATTCAGCTTTTTAAAACCCTACTATGCAATAAGCTAATAAATAAAAATAAATAAATAAATAATACTTTATTTTTATTTTAATTAGTATACTACAGAATTAATAAAAATTTTATCAGATGTTATTTTTAAAACTGGGTCTTCTTCTAATCCTTGCTGTTTATTTTTGAATATCTGAAGTTATTGACGAAAGGGATCTTTTTATTATTACAGTCATCTATATTTGTTTAAATCTTAAAGGATGCTAAAAATAATAAAAAAAAAAAAATTAATTCAAGATGTATTTATCATGAAAACTTGTCGTAACTTGAAATATAATTTTTTTTTTAGCAAGAATATTTTTGATAGCATAGATACAATTGTTAATTGAGGAGGCATGATACTCAATTCCATCTGGCTCCTTATTGAATAACACAAGCACACGATTCGTCTTTATGAAATTATTAATAAGTATGTTAAGATTTTCTTTTTAGTAGGTTTTTCAAAAGTAAAGTTCGCCTATTAATGAAAATTTGTTAGTCCCAATAACTCAATTATTGGTTTTATAGTACAGCGAGGTACACGCATGCAATTTTAGACATAGAGAGATATCTTTTAAAATCTGGGCATAAAGGTAATCACGTAGTTGGTGATAAATCATATTGTAATACTTTTTAAAAATAGATACGAATGGATTAATACGCATGTCAAGTAAATAATATATTTTTTTTTAGATTTAATTTATATTTGTTTTCTTAAATACAACACTACCACCGACAGTAATGATTATATAAAATTAAAAGTTTTTGAAATCTTCCTGTTTTATTTCATGTTTTAACGCTTCTTTAATCTTTTACCTTTAGATATTGAAATAATTTAATATCATTAATGATTCGATTTAACATTGATGTAATCATTAAATTGGTTATTATTATCAGTCTCACTTTTAAATGATGAAGAAAAGAGTGAGTTACTATTTATAAAAACTCTAATGAAGTAAAATAAATTTACAACTGACGGTAAACTTTTATTACTTTAACTAATCGTATTTTTTTTTTATTATTCCTAACCCAATTTAGGTGAAGGGAATGAACGTAGTTATCAGTGTTATTAACTAATGGTCTTTTTGAACTAAATCAATTCTTACTAGATTGGAAAAATTAGTGACAAGACCCAAAAAGAAGGCTAACTTTTTTAAAATTGTTCCCGCGAACAATGCAAGAAATGAATGCTCTCCTAAACCTTTAGACTAACGTAACAAATTAGGAACCTAATTAAGTTATTGTGAACTTCATCAGGACAAGAACTATTTACCTGGGATAAGAAGATTAACGAAAATGAGCAATCTAATGAATATAAAACTATTTATTTAAGATCATATCTTCTTATAAGCTATGGAACGATAAAGATAATCAGCAATTTCTAATTGTTACAGAACAATCCATAGCTTCCCTTTAAAGGTCACATCGGATCTTGCAATATTAAAAAGCTAAAGGTCAAGAAGCAAAAAGAACTCGATTGCTATTTGAACCGAAAATGGTAGGAACTATCAGTTCGCAAGAAAGATATAAATCATAGGTAGAGATAATTTTGGTCAAATATAGTGGTCCTGACGGGACCAGAATTGTTCAAGATTATATTATTCAGGAAAGTAACAACATACATACAAGAATTGATGAATTTGATGATGATTATCTACTTTTAAAAAGAAAAAAAAGTTGGAAACACCAAGTGGTATTTGACGTTGTCGCCAATTTCTGTGATTTTTGCAAATGACTGAATCGAAAGTTTTTTTACGAGATATGTATATATATACAGTATATCTTCTGTCATCACCTTATAGCCAATTAATTATTCTACATGTTAGATCTTTAATGAAATTTATTAAATTTATTAGTAAATAACTCATAATATTTTTTATTTTAATAATGGGTACAACTAGCTTCAAAATAAACAAAAGACGTGTGTAATCAACTTCATTAATAAAATCTCTGATCTAAAATTACAAAAGTGAAAAAGGAAACACCATCTGTTATATTTGTGATAAACATTTATTTGATCTTGTGATATATCAAAGCAAAAAGAACGCATATGTGCCATATGCATGTGTGCTTTGGCATAACAAACAAAGCAAAGTCAAATAATGATATTTTTTTCAACCCTGATGATGATTATGGATCGAATGTTCCTCATTTTATCACGACTGAAAGTGATATAAAAGAAAAGAAGGAAAATTCGAATCAATATAGAAGAGGTCTTTAATAAGTAGATCTTTGATTATATTGAAAAATACTGACTGTACACATGATTTTTTCTGTAAAAGTGATAAAATGTTATTGTTTTTGCATCAACTAAGCCTCTCATAAAACCAGTTCAAGAACTTGTATGATAAATTAAGTAAGTCACTTAAAAATGATCATGTTACAGGTAAATTTTAAAAAATTATATAAATTAAAAAATCAAAAAAAAAATCATATTCTTTTATTCTATTAATTATAAATAAAAGTTTAAGTGGCGTTTTTTATTTAAGTCCCGAGTGGCTCAATAAAGATAAGATATTTATCCGCGTCATTGCTTTGGTGTAACGAGTGCAATCTTTGTGAATCCAGAGTTTTGATAACATCCCCATATAGAGCAAATATTTCTGGCCTTTTTGCCAAATTATCATAGATTAGATATTTTTTTTTTTTGTTAATTATCACAATTCTAGATCGGATTAATATTGTTAAAAAAAAAATTTTTTTTTTTGTTTCTTCAAAAAAGAATGTGTATTACACCCAACTAAAAAAAGAAAAAAGAAAAAAAAAAGAAAAAAAAAAAAAGTT